GACTCAGCCGAAACCACCAGGGCACCAAACTCTCCTTTGCATCGTCACCGTTTGAGGGACAGAAAAATGTAATTTACATTTCTGAAGGAGGGCCCCTTCCAACTTCCATCCGACTACTGAGGCTCGCATAGCACAACCAAGTGGCTCTGGCTACTAAAAGCCAGCATGCAGATCTGTGTAGCCTCCGTTTCCCAACCTCCCCTCACTTTCCCAATGGTTTCCCCGCAGCCAATCTACACCCTGCCAGAATATCCGTCTATAATAAACTGGCACGGACGGGAGGCTCCCATCTTTGGCCGAATCTGCCATGATCCAGTCGTCCAATGACCCGGCCTAGCCGCGCCCCCTCCCCCCCCACTCCCCTTGCTTTCAGCCCTTCTGCCCGGCCCGGCCCCCCCCCCCTCCCATATCCCAAACTGCCCCGAGCGCTTCTACCTGCTCACCTGCCAACAGCCCACCTCTCTGGGCACCATGGTCCATCTCCTGCCCACAGCCCCATCCCAGCCCTCTCCTCACTTGCACTGGCCAGCACTGTCCTTCCCCCCACCCCTTGCACACTTTGCAGGGCCCCCCATGCCACCCCACCGCCTGCCATACCCTCCTGGCATCCCCCCCACAAGGATGCCAGCCCCGTGGGCATCCCAATGCAACTTTGGTTAGGGGTCACCTTAGGGGACTGCTTGGGGGGGGGCTTGCAGACCCTGGCCCTTTCCCTCTTCTCCATCCACACAACCCGCCCCCATCGAGCCCCCTCCTCCTCAGATGCTGATCTGCACGGGGAGGCAGTTAGCACTCCAGAAGTCCACAAATGCTGCAACTCAAGAGCCCCTCCAGCCCCCCCACCATGTTAAAGAGAGCTGGGATATAGTCTATACCAGGGGTGCCCAACCTTGGCAACTTTAAGACTTGTGGACTTCAACTCCCAGAATTCCTCAGCCAGCAAAGGGATTCTGGGAGTTGAAGTCCACAAGTCTTAAAGTTGCCAAGGTTGGACACCCCTGGTCTATACAGTCAGGCAGGGGATAATGGGGCCTGGACAGCAGCTCCCATGGGGCGATGGGTGTTGGTAGAGAATCGGGCAGTAAAGGGGATGATGGGCCTGGGGGGTAGCCCTTCCGAGGGCGGGGGATGATGGGATCTGCAAAACAGGGCATGGGGCGAGACTGGGGATGAGCAGGGTAGTCAATGGGCGGGGATGATGGGACGAGGCCAAGGACTCAGACCAGGGAGGGGGCATAGGCGGGGATGATGGGTCTGGGAACAGCCCTCGTGGGGGAGGGCAGAAAGGGGCACTGATGGGATCTGCAGGGCGAGACTGGGGATGGGCAGGGGAGTCACTGGGCGGGGACGATGGGACCTCGGGAGGCGGCCAAGCGCTCAGACTGGGGAGGACAGGCCCGGGGGTGCAGGCGGGGATGATGGGCCTGGAGGCAGCCCTTCGGGGGGGGGGGGGGGGGGGGGGGGGGGGGGGGGGGGGGCGCCGCGCACCATGGGCCCCCTCGCCCGCTCACCGGCCTGCGTGGTGTCGCTCAGGTCGTAGGCGGCGGCGGCCGAGAACTCGCGCAGCTTCCTGCCGCTGAGGCAGAGCAGGCCGGAGCTGCCGGCCTCCTCCAGCGTCTTCTCCAGGCTGCGGCCCGGCGAGGGGGCGGCGGCGGCGGCGGCCGCGGAGGCGGCGGCGGCGGCGGAGGAGGCCCCGCTCGAGAGGGCCCCGCCGCCCCAGGCCGGGTAGGGCAGCGTCAGGTGCGGCGGCAGCAGCAGCCCCGGGAAGGCCGGGCCGGGCTCGGCGAAGGGCGGCGGGGGCGGCGGCGGGGGGGGCGGCGGGGGAGGAGGGGGCGCGGGGGGGGGGGGGCCGGGGGGCGGCAGCGACGAGGACGACGAGGAGCCGCCCCCGACCCCTCCCGCGCCGCCCGCGCCGCCCGCGCTGCCCCCGCCGCCGCCTCCTCCTCCCTCGCTGCTGGCCGCAGGACCGCCGCCTTGACCGGCCGCCATCGCCGCCGCCGCCCCGCCACAATGCTCGCGGCGGCCGCCTCTGCGCAGGCGCGGCGGCGGCGGGGCGCGGCCCGTGCGCAGGCGCGCGTCCAGGAGGCGGGGCCGGGGGCTGAGTGGGCGGGGCCGGATTGCCCGGGCGGCGCTTCGGTCCTCGCGATCTGCGCTGGCGCTTCGTTCTTGGATGCCTCGGATTGATTGCCTTTGTGTGCCGCCCGGCTCGGCTTCCTCGCCGTCCTTTCTTCCGATGCACGGAAAGGCGTTTTATTTGTCTGTCTGTCTGTCTATCTATCTATCTATCTATCTATCTATCTATCTATCTATCTATCT